GGCGTCTTGCCGTCGGAGTCTTGCCGTCGGCGCCTTGCCGTCGGCGCCTTGCCGTCGGCGTCTTGCCGTCGGCGCCTTGCCGTCGGCGCCTTGCCGTCGGCGCCTTGCCGTCGGCATCTCGCCGTCGGCGTCTCGCCGTCGGCGCCTCGCCGTCGGCGTCTCGAGCGTGTAGGGAGTACGGCATGGAGGTCTTTCCCCGTATGTTCACTGCGTGGGTGCCACTTTGTGTCCGTTCGTGATTTAGTGATGTCGTACATACGTTCGGAGCAAAGTTTCTTGCTGTGGGTGTTTCGTGGCGCGGTGTTTTTCTCCTGTCGTGCCGGCAAGCAGCAACAGCGACAACGACAGCAAAAGCACAAAGGCAGCAAACTGCAAAGATAAGGTCAGCAAACTCAGATAGAAGCTGGAAAGCCGGCCGATGGTTATTGTTGCGGTGTTCAGTGGCTTGTATTTGTGCGCAATTGTATGTATGTTTGTATGTTGGTGTTCAAATGTGGGTGAGAATGTGCTCGCGCGCGCGCGTGTGCGTGTGTAAGTGTCTGTAGGTGTGTGTAAGAGGGTGTATGTGTGTGTCCACGCGCACGCATGTATACGTATGTGTGGGTATGTGTGAGGGTGCTACTGTTTTTACTTTGTGATGAAATATTCGAAACTGCCCGCGATCCGCGTGTGCTTATTAGTATGTTTCTGCATTTTGTGCGCAGCTGCTCATGTTGTTTTGCCGTGCAAAGTCTGTGCTCGTTGCGTCCCCTGCTAGCTGATTAACAGCGTGTGTGTGTGTGTGTGTGTGTGTGTGTGATTTCCCCGCCCACCTCCCGCCCGATGCCCCCGCCGGTCTGAGCGAGCCTGGGCGAGGACTTACGTCGGCCGCCTCGCCGTCGGCCGCCTCGCCGCCAGCATCTCGCCGTCGGCCGCCTCGCCGTCGGCCGCCTCGCCGTCGGCCGTCTCGCCGTCGGCCGCCTCGCCGTCGGCCGCCTCGCCGTCGGCCGCCTCGCCGTCGGCCGCCTCGCCGTCGGCCGCCTCGCCGTCGGCCGCCTCGCCGTCGGCCGCCTCGCCGTCGGCCGCCTCGCCGTCGGCCGCCTCGCCGTCGGCCGCCTCGCCGTCGGCCGCCTCGCCGTCGGCCGCCTCGCCGTCGGCCGCCTCGCTGTCGGCCGCCTCGCCGTTGGCCGCCTCGCCGTTGGCTGCCTCACCGTCGGCCGCCTCACCGTCGGCCGGATGCCGGATGCCGGATTTGGATTGCCGACCACCAATCAATCTGCATCATCAACCCTTTGTTGTGGTATGCATGATGGCATGGCATGGTCGAGGGTCGTTTGGTTCCATGTCTTG